GGGGGGGGGGGGCACAAAGGTTTATTTACACAGCCAGGCAATGGGCTATCCTCTTCTAACCCCAGTTGACTGTGTAATCTGTCCAAACTTTGACCTTGTTTTGTTCCTTTCTCAGCCTGCAGGTAAGTGGCCTCGCCCCTGCCCCCATTTCCATTAGGGGTGGCCGTGTGTGGTGATTTGTAAAGGGGGTTGGGAGTAGAGACAGTAGATGCTGGAGTCAGCTGGCATGAAGGAGTTACTTGGTGGCCAGGTGAACAGGGACTTGTGTGTGTGTGTAGGTTTCTAAGTGATAGCCAGGTGGGTAGAAGGGTATTTTTTTAGTGTTTTTAAAGCTTGCTCTTACGTCGGATTGAATAACGATGCTTTCTACCTCTCAGCAATCCTGTAATAGAATTATCCTCATTTACAGATTAGAAAACCCGATCTCAGAGGTTAAGCAGCAGATGCAACACAAGCAGTTAAGACATCTGTAGTATATTTGCAATTTTTATTGCATTGGACATAGGAAATCCAGATACCCAGTGAATCCTGTTAAAATGGGAGCATTCATGAAACTAGCCACCTCTGGGATAAGAAGGACTGTGACCTTTACTCTCCAGGTGTTTCTCTTCCTGTTCCTGAGCTTGCAAAGGACACAAACAGGCATTTTCGTGAGGGTGATGTGTGTGCCTTTAAATTTGTGCTGACTGTGCATCTCACTGCCTCCTGCTGAGTTGCAGACCACATGGCAGAGGCCAGTCTTGATGGCAGTGGCCCAGCTGCTGCAGTTCGGGGGGGAGAGGCTACAGACCTGATTTAATCTGTGACTCAAACAGCTCTCTCTGTGGAAGTGCCTCCAGTGTCCCTGGCTTTGGTTCCTTGCAGGCAGCAGAACATTGAGGAGAACATGACGATTGCTATGGAAGAGGCTCCGGAGAGTTTCGGCCAAGTCGTGATGCTTTATATTAACTGCAAAGTGAATGGACATCCCGTGAAAGCCTTTGTTGACTCAGGTGATGTCTCTGTCCTATCTGTGTCTCTCCATCCAACGTTCTGACCTGGCGGGAGGAGGGGTGGCCTGGTGTCGTTAAAGGTGGCACCGTCCTTCGTACCACTGGACCACTGACAAGAAGGCCCGGGGTTGTGGTGTCACTTGCCAGTCTTCTCCTGTCTGTGATGGGTTCGTGTCTTCACCAGCATTGCGTCTGCGGTGTCTCCTTTACTTCCTGCTCCCCTTGTCTGGCGTCCTAAATTTTAGGGTTGCTCTGAAGAGTTGGGGAGCCATTGGGTTTAGAACAAGGGGCTGCCGAAAGGAGCTGTGTGGAGTATAGGTCTGACCAGTATGTCCACCTGGATACAGGGCATGGTTCCTGCCCTGAAAGAACGTCCAGCCAGGTAGGGGGTGGGGAGTCTTGCACTGGAGGAGTCAGATATCCCTGTGCTGTCACCTTATGCCTTAGTAGGGCCGCACATGGGCAGCACCATGTGGTGGGACAGTGGTCTCCTGTCTTAGTTCTGGGCAGGGCTTCCCAGCGTGGTCAGAGCTCCTGCTCACATAGCTCTCCATTTGTTCGTCCAGCAGTACTGAGCACACCTGGGTTTCAGGTATTGGTAAGAGTCTGAACTGAGGTGCAGACATTCCCAGGGGAGTAACTGCCGAGTATTCAAGTTTTTAAAGTGGTTGTTGAGGGCTGCGGGCAGGGCCTTGTGCCAAGTGCTTCATAGGGCTCTATGAGCGGGAGGGCCATAGGAGACCCTAATACAACACTCAGCGTTGGCCCAGCCCTTGCTGTGTGCCGAGCACTGTGCTAATTCCTGCTGAGTTAACTCAGGTGCTTAATTATATGTCATCTTACCTTTACTTAGCCCTCAGCATGTCCTCCATGAACTGTGTTCTGTTATCCCCATTGATAGATGAGGAAACTTAGGCAGAGAGAGGAGAGGTCACCCTGCCAGGTACACAGAGTCCGTGAGCAGCTGTCTGCTTGATGCCAGAACAGAACCACTGTGCAGAAACCAGGTGCAGGTTGGACGAACACAGACACGGCATCGTCACTCCGACTGGGATGGTCCAGAGGAAGTGTCTCCACAGCAGAGGAGTGGGGCTTGGAGCTGAGGCTCGAGGAGAGCAGGAAAGGGACCCTTCTGGGGCTGCTCCCTGTACGTCAGTAACTGACTTTTGTGGAGTGACGTGGGGAGGGTGGAAGGAGAAAGGAAATTGCTTCCCAGGTTCCCTTTTCCTTCATTGTCCCTGGGCCTTCTGGAATCTCACCGCCTCAGGTGCCAGGACCTCCAGTGCCCATAGAGGGGAAGGCACCTCATGAATAGTAGGAACAGGATGTGTTGGGGTCGAGTCTGAGGCAACATCGTGGGGGAAGAACAGCCAGTGGTGGGGAGGTGGCCTCGAGCTGGGCCTTGACGCATGAGCGGAATTAGAGGTGAAAGCGGGCAGGGGAACACTGTGCGGGAGGGTCAGGGTGAGTAAGGGGCAGAGGGGACGCGTTCCCCCTGGTAAGGGAGGGCTCAGAGCATTTGGAGCACAAGGCTGGTGTCTGTGTGTTGAGGCTGCCACAGCAGGACATGGCATTCTGGTGGCTTAGGAACAACCCAGTTACCTTATGGCGTGGAGGCTGGGAGATGCATGTCTGGTGGCAGCCTGAGTCCTAGTCTGTAGGTGGCCGTCACTGCAGGGCGGCGGCCTCGCTGCAGCCTCTGGGGAGGGAAGGCGGTCTGTCGGAGCAGATGGTGGGGGTTCACTTCCAGTTTTTTGAGAGGGTGTATATTTTTCAACTGGTAAATTACAGTGTCCCAAAGTTTGGCGTAGAAATAACCTGGTGAGATGTTTAGAGACACTGTGAGAACAGATATTTAAACAGTACTCTTTCCTTCCACGTCAGGTTTGTACGCTATGTTTCAGGTTACACTCGAACTGAAAGTTGAACTGCGGCTTCCTGCTCGGTGGGAGCCGTGTTGCACAGGCAGAGCCTGGGGTGTCCGCGTTCTGCCTCCTTAGTGCTGCGCTTGAATCGCACCACGGTTTGGGTTTTGTCTTTATTATCTGATATCTCCCTTCACCTCCAGGTGCCCAGATGACCATTATGAGCCAAGCTTGTGCAGAAAGGTGTAACATAATGAGGCTGGTGGACCGTCGGTGGGCAGGGATCGCCAAAGGAGTGGGCACCCAGAAGATTATCGGAAGGGTGCATCTAGGTGAGCGAAGGGCACTGGGAATCTCTGTAGGGTGGGGGATTTAAGCTGTTCTCTCTTGGGCAGGTACACCCGATCCAGCAAGCCTTAACCCGGGAAATTTAAACTCCACATTGAAGTCATAGTATGTGCAGGTTTTAGTGGTGACGGAAACATCAGTCCCCTGCCTACTTCTGTGCCCTGCTCCTCAGAGGCCATTCCTTTCAGCTCTGTTAGACTTCCTTGGCGCTTGCCTCCACGCTTCTGAATAACGCGCATGGTGCTGTTCACTGGTTTGAGGATATGAGGACTGTCGAGAGCATAGCTGTCATACTGAAAATCATCGCTCTTCCTTTTCTCGGAATGAGTAATTGTCTTTTTTTGGTCATTGGGTGTTTTGTGTGTCACTCCTCCCACGCGGACCTGGCTGTGTAAATGTCCTTGCTGCATTTCTTCCCAGTGAAGGTGCTTCTCCTGAGCCTGGGCTGTTAGAGCTGCTTCGCTCAGAGCTGCTGGTTGGGAGTCTCCCTTGACCGGGTCCCGGGGGTTCCTTTTTCCTTGGTCTGACGTCAGACATGTGAAGCCCGTGTGTTCCTCTTTATTTTGCTCCTCAGTTGACCGGAGCACGTCTTCCAGTAACTTGCTGAGAAAAGTGCATGGAAGTAAATTGAGTCCTTAATATCAGAACGTGTCTCTTTCCCTACATTCCTCCAGTCTGATGAAGCTGCAAGTCATTTTCCTTCACAATTTTTACAGTTTTGCTGTGGAAAAGCTGGCTGCTGTTCTGACCCTTGACCCTTTGTGTGCATGATTTCTGAGGGTTGTAGGATCTTTTCTTTGACCTCGGTGCTTTGAAATTTTACAGTGATGCGCCTGGGTGTGGCGCTCTCCACACCCAGGTGCCTTTGGGTCTGGGAAGCGGTTGGGAGGACGGTCCCTGCAGTGTCGGTCGTCAGGCGGACCATCTCCTGTCCTGGGCTTGTCCTCCCCTTTCTTTCATTGTGTCCTGGGGTTTATTTGCCAAGATTTCCTCAACTTTGCCTTCCGGCCTTTCTGTTATGTTTTGTATTTTTGTCTCCCGAGTTAGATGACTTTCTCAAATGTCTGGTGATCCATGGCCCCTGCTTATGTTGAGAGCGGGGCGCCAGACGGCTATTTGGAAGGTTCCCAGGTGGGCAGCCGTGGCGATTGTGGGTGATCTGGAAGCTGAGCCTCAGTAAGCTTTCACTTTGCCCCTTGGTTCGTTAAGGCTTGTGTTGTGTCCTGTCTTTCCCGTGCCCACCTCTGTTGCGACAGCCTCTGTTGAGTAGAGGGAGGGACTCGCCTGACGGAGCAGAGTGAGGAGAGGACCCAGGATCTGACGGTGCCTGCACAGGCCTCCAGCCAGCCTTCCTGCTCTGGGCCTCCCTCCACCCCGGTTCTCAGGGCGCTTGTTCAGCCCGTCCGTCAGCCCCTGGGGAGCTCTGTCGGTGGGGTTGCTGCTTAGTTTTCCTTACTGTCATCTTTCTAGTTGCAAAATTGTGTCTCCCTTGTCTCATCATTTTTGGCCTTAGTGGTTTTGTGCGTGCGCATTGTAGACAATTTCAAGTGTAGAAATGTGGAAAGAAGCTAATACCTTAAATATGTTGGGTAAGAACCAGCCATTGATAGCATTTGGACACACCTCTTTTTACTTGTAAAAGGTGGTCCCATGATGTATAGAGTTTTATACTCTGCTTTAAGAAAAATTAACATTCATACTGTTTTCTAATGTCACTATACATTTCATAAGCATCGTTTAACTAAATGGGTAGCAGTGTGTTGTGCAGGTTTAGTGGTCAACTCTGGGGATGTATCCCCCCCGGTATTTTGTCATCGTAACGTGGGGGTGGGTTGCTGTGTTCTGTGTCCACTGATTTTTTCCATCAGGATTCCTGTGAGTCCTGAATCAGAGGTTTAAGACCCTTGATATGCTGACCGGTTTCTCCAGCTCTGAGTGTCTGTCCCCTCAGTGTCTGTACAGTCAGGTATCGCCAGTTCTTACTCCTTTAATGCGCAGATAAAGCAGCCTCTTACTATAAGTTACTGTTCTTTCATTGCAAGTAAAGTTTTTCTCACCTGTTTTCTCCTTCCTTTCATATTTCTTTTACAATATATGTGTCTGTGTGCGAGTCTCCTTAACTTTATTGATTTTTATAGGATAGGGTCCCTTAAATACCTCACTCATATACTTTCCTATACACAGTAGGACGCAGATTGAATAGCAGTACCACAAATTAGTTGCTTCAGTGTCTGAGGTCTCAGATTTTTCGTGGTTTTCAGTGGAAGATAATGGGAGGAGACACAGTAGCACCCATCCCCGAGTCCTTCCTTGTGGATGGACAGGTTGCACTGTTTGGCAACTTTGGCTCTGATCAGCGTGGAGACAACCTTTTAACAGTAAGGAGAGCTGTGCGGTGGATAGGAAGACAGTCCACTGAAGACGGTGATGCTCCCACATTTACCAACAGAATCCGTTAATACCGTCCAAGTCACAATAGGCTGTGTGTGTGCCCGTGTGTGTGAAAGAGGCGATGTGCTGACTGTGAATTTTACATAGGTTCTTCACATCACACACAAAAGTCAGTTCAGGGTTGATTAAAGACCTGGATATGAAGGCAAAGTCCCAGCTTCTACTTATTTATTTACTTATTTATTTTTAAATATATCTTTATTGATTTCAGAGAGAGGAAAGGAAAGGGAGAGAGAAATAGAAACATCAATGATGAGAGAGTCATTGACCGGCTGCTTCCTGCACACACCGACTGGGGATCGAGCCCGCAACCCAGGCATGTCCCCTGACCCAGAATCGAACCCTGATCACCTGGATCCTAGGTCAACGCTCAACCGCTGAGCCACTCCCAGCCCGGCAAAGTCCTAGCTTTTAGAAGAAAGTACAGGAGGATATCTTGCATGGGGGAGGGGTTCTTTCAAGGGTAGGAAGTTATTTGATCAGTTCAGCCACATTGAGATTTAGAACCTTTTGTCAAAAGATGTCATAAAAAAGTGAAAAAACACAAGGAAAGGGCTTTAGTAACGCGTATACCGATGAAGGACTCGGATTCAGAACATGCGGTGCTCTGTTTGTATAGCCTCCAACTCCATAAGAAAGCAGTATAAAAATTAAGTACTTTCAGAGGAAACCCAAAGGGCTAGTATCTGAGAAGTTGCTTCATCTCGTTAACCAGGGGGGTACAAATTTACTGCCAGATTAGTGAGAGTTTAAATCTAACCGTGCTGAGCGCCGGTGAGGGTGGGGAGCAGTGGGAGCTTTTGTGCCCTGTAGAGAACAGGTCAGCGTCACCAAGCAGAGTTGAACCTGATGTCCCCAGAACCCTGTAGCTCCCCTTCCTAGACTGCACCTTAGAGGAGCTCACGGCCCACCAGGACGAGGGCAGGAGTGTGCAAGGCAGCGCTGTGACAGCGGGAACCCGAAGCAGCCCAGGGCGCCTGCAGCCTGGGCCGGGGGCATGGATCCTGTGTTAGATGTTACAGAGCGAGGGCCATGTCCGGCAAGGACAGTCACGTGCATCTACGGGGATGAAGTATCTCAAAACGTTTCATGAGTGAAGGGCAAGTTGTAGTTCAGAAACACAAAACTAAACAGGTTGCTTAGAGATCCTACAAAGTTGGTGGGAGTGATGAACACAGAACCCAGACAGCTGGGAGGGTGGGAGGCAGCAGAGGCTAAGTGATCAGTGGGACACACGGAGGCCTCTTAGTTTTCTGTTTCTTAGCCTGGGGAAGAGACGTGGGTGTTGGTCTTACCATGCTTCATGCTGTACCTGTGGTTCATACACTCCTGTGTATAAGGTACACTTAGTAATAACAGCGTAAGTGTCTCAGTCTTAACTACTAAGTACGGGGAGTAATCAGTGGAAGGGTTAAGGCAGGAGGCTCCAGACAGGCACAGGCCGTGATGTGGCCTCTGATGTGGCAAAGAAACTTGGTCACAACAGGCCACGAACAATGTACTCTTTGGGGGCTAATGTAAAAGGTTTAGAGCACACAGATTTTCGTAAGGGGATGGGAAACGGGCTTATTGGAGGGGTTGGGCCTTCTTTATGTTTAATCCACTGTAGCAGCTGGTGCCTTCATCAGCTTTTAACCTGATGATTAGTTTAACCGGCCTTCCTTTTTGTGCTCCCCTCTCTGCGAGCTTTGCCTTGTCTAGACTGAGAAGCAAGGCAGAGAAGGGGGTACACTTCCACGGCGAACACCAGCAGCCTCTCCTCTTCCTGTGCTTCAGCTCAGGTGCAGATTGAAGGCGACTTCCTGGCCTGTTCCTTCTCTATACTCGAGGAGCAGCCCATGGACATGCTCCTGGGACTGGACATGCTGAAGCGGCACCAGGTACTGAGCTCCCCTTGTGCTTGCACGGGCCTTGTGTGTGTGAGGTGGCTGTCATCGCGTCGTTTCCCTTGGCTGCGTGCCCTGGAAAACCAAGCAGCACGGCTCCTTAAGCCTGGAAGATGCTGACTTCATTGATGGGGGTGTCATTCAGGGTTTAAACCATGTGTGTGAAGAAATAGAATCTTCTGTGAACTCTCTCTGCGTCTAATTATGTATTTATTTATTTTTGGTTAATCCTAACCCGAGGATATTTTTTCCATTGATTTTTAGAGAGAGTGGAAGGGAGGGGGAGGTGGGAGAGAGAAACACTGATGTGAGAGGGGCACATTCATTGGTTGCGTCCCGCACATGCCCTACTATTCCAGGGACAAGCCTACACCCAAGGTACGTGCCCTTTGACTGGGAACTGAACCCAAGACCCTTTGGTCCTCGGACGGACGCTCTAACCACTGAGAACACCAGCCAGGGCTTTCTGAACTTTAATTCTTTCCATCTGTTTTGAGATTAAAATGGCCAACGCTTCCCTTGTGTAATTCTCAGTTTCTGGTTAGAATGCAGGTGAGTTTTGGTGGGTTGGTAGGAAAGTGTGGATGGCACAGGGATGACTACGCCATGTGAGTTGAGCGCGTCCTTAGTATGGTCGGACTGCTTGGGCAAGAGGGTGTCGGGGTGGGGGGTTGTGCGTAAGGTGCTGGGAATGGAAATGTCTGTGTGGTGCTGGGGCCGGGGTGTCTGTGTGGTGCTGGGAGTGGTAACTAGGTTCATCGGCAGTGATGTTTGTATTTCTATTCCGAAGCCTAATAATTTGTTCAAAGATGAACAACTCTCCGTGAAGAAGCAGTCCGTGTCCACTGGGTGGTCAAGTCGTTGACGACAAGGTTGCATATCCAGCCAGGATTGTGATGTCACTAATACTCTTTCAGATTTTTTAGTATTAAGCTGTCTATAAAACATGGATTGCAGTGGTGCTCTAGGGTGCAGAAATTTGAGTAGAAGGAAGGGGTGGGTGCGTGTGCAGATAAAGCCTGTTTCATGGTCACGGTCCCCTCGTTTTCCTTGTCATGGTACAGACCAGGAGCCTCTGGCTTCGTAGGTGTAACATGTGTATATGTCACTGTCTTATGTTAATTAATTACAAAAATACCTGGAAGAGTGTGAAATAAAGACTAGTTTGTAGTGGTTGCCTTGCTTTGTACCACCTTTGAGACCATTAGTACAGAGTTTAAGTATAAGCTGTACTTACACAGAAAATGAAAAGCCATGTGTAGAATGTGTCGATGCTTTGTCTTGGTTTTATGAGAAAAGACCACTTACGTTTGTGGAAGGTGGGCCCTGAACGTGCCTGGCATTTCCCCAAGGTTAGCACGACAAACGTGTATTACATTTAAACTTAGAAATGAACATATGTGGTGTTAGACAAATAAGTGTGAGCTACCTTATGAGATGATTACTCTGTAAAATTTAAATATTAAGCAAATTCTAAATTAGCTTTCTCACCTGGGTTAAAGTGGCTTTGAGCTGTCTGTGTCACTCTGTGGTGGAGTTTTAAATTCAGGGTCACAGTCTCTCTGCGTGATGTTTTGTCTGCTCTCATCAGTCCTTGGTTTCTTCCTCCGAAGTGTTCCATTGACCTCAAGAAAAATGTGCTTGTGATCGGCACCACCGGCTCCCAGACCAGCTTCCTCCCGGAGGGAGAGCTCCCGGAGTGCGCCCGCCTGGCATACGGGGCCGGGCGGGAGGAGGTGCGGCCGGAGGAGATAGCAGACCGGGAATTGGCAGAAGCCCTTCAAAAATCCGTCCAGGATGCAGGTACTCGCAGTGGCCGGGCTCGTGGATGGTAACTCTCATGATTGCGGGTGAGCAGGGAAGTTCAGGCTTTAGAGGGTGGGGCCTTTTCTAGTTTGTGGTCAGTCTCGTCCTGTCAGACGTGTTCCTGTCCTCTTACTGCCTCCTGTCTCAGCGCAGCAGAGGAAACTTGGTGTTGTAGCTCATCAGGAACGGCGATCCACGCCGTGTGCAGGGCCGGTCGGGAGTGACTGGCTCAGGCACATTTGTAGGCCTCCTGAAATTTTTGTATTTTTTTCCTGAACAAAATAACAGCAAGCAGACACTTCCTTTTGCATTCAGCAGTATTTCCCCGAACATTTCTTTTCCTTTTCGGAGGCCCGTTTATTTTGTGGAGCAGCACTGTCCCCACGACTGAGCAGCCCTAACCTTTTATATCTGGAAGTGCTGCCACCAAAGGCAGAGGCCCCGGCAATGAGAAGGTAATTGGGCATCGGTCAGCATACAATGCTATTATGTCACCATGCTATTAATGAGGTCACGGTGGCGAGTCATTGGGCCAATTAGAACCGTGTATGAGCTGTTACATGAACCACCTACTACTTTTATTTTTTCCTAAGTCTGATGGTTTCCATCTAAAGTCCAAGTCAAGTTGCTGGGTGACATGGAGGGACATGGTTTTGCTGGAATCCACTCCACGGGTGGTTTTCCCCACTGTCACAGAACGGTGAGGAGAATTAACCCCTGTTATTTTGAAGTCCTGAGCTGTCACTGTTCATCAGTGGCTCCTGTCACTTGTTGCCTTTCCCGATCTGGTGAAGTATATCGGAGCTACAGCTTCCGGGACTAGCTTTCTTCTAGAGACAAAAAAGATCAGCACTTTGAAAACAAGCAGCCAGAGTCCTCCAGCATTTGTTCTGGGGGGGGCAGGTGGAGTCCTGGGCTGGCCTGGCTCAGCCTGCACCACCTCTGCAGCCCAGGTTACAGGCCAGCTGCAGGGGCAAGCTTGAGTGCGGTTGACATACCTACTTAGAAGGATCTGTGTTTTCTTAATTTGTCAGCTTAGTCGTCATACTTCATGTTAATAAAGTGGGATATATTTTAACCTAGTGGAACTCTCTTTCTCCCCCCCACGGTCTTGGTGCTTTTACTTATGAAGCACCAGCTGGTGGTAGCAAGGCTGTCCAAACTAGTAACAGTCACTCTTAGGGTAATTACCTTTCCTTAGAAAGTTTAGGAGATTAGAGTAGAAACGGCAAGTGTCTTCAGGTGTAGTGGGAGAGACGCACCCATTTTCAAAGATTGAAAGAA